CAACGAATAAGAGGTCTACCGTGATGGTCCGTTCCCGGTGACAGACCTTATGGTGTTGTTCCCTGACCACCTGCCCTGAGTGCCGAATGATCTGCCCGTCTGCCACTGTGATCCCGACGATACGAAGAAGCTGAAGCGTGGGCGAGTGCCGGAGGTGGGGTCCAAGGTGGCTGACCGACCTAGCGCCCTCATATTGCCCAGAGCATATAGCTCTTATACAATTCGTGCCGGAATCTGATGTGCGGAGGATCTCGTCCAGTCTCTTCGGAACATTACTCGACAGCTGTTAAGGTTCCCCGGGTGCTTGCTTCTTCTCGCAAGCTCAGTTGATTTTAAGGCTCAGGTGCGATGAAACCCCTTCGCCTCGATGCAGTCGCAGGGGGTTTGGGCTCCGCTGAGTGGTCCGCGGCAATAACGATGTTTGTGCAGGATACCCGACCCCGGCAATTTTTCCAACTGCCAGATGGGTTTCAGAGATCTTGTCAGCCCGTCGACAACCAATGTGATTGGTGATAGCCCTGCCAAAGATATTCGAGAAGGGGAAAAGCAGACCTGCCCTGCTATGCGCCGCATAGCCCTACCACTATGCCACCCGACCATCATCCCACTGCAGCGTGACCAACAGCCGCGCCGGGAGCTGGACCAGCACACCCGCTTGGCGCGATGTGGGCACGACACGACAGGTCCCATCTTGGTTCTGCACCTTTATTTGCCGCTGCGCCTCGTTGGTGCATCGATGCGCATTGTTTGATCTCCCATGCAGAGTGACATCGCTGGACTGCGTCGCCCTCACAAGGCATTGTTGGCGATCCGTACTAAAACGGGTGCACCTTTGCGGCACAGTGAACCGATATGGTTACAGTAGGCAGCCGGTTAAGTGCAGCTCAAAGGTAAGCAGTTTGGGTTGACTGTGTTCGGGTGCCTCAGATATACACAGCACCGTGCTTGCGGGCGCTCCCAGTTGCCGGCAGGTCAAGTGCTTACCAGCCCATTGCACTTCGATTCCAGCCCTTCCGTTGGGACTAAAATTGGTCAACTGTGGCGCGCTTCTTGGCATCCGAACCAACAGGACGGGTCACCAGTGGGAGAGCCGCTTAGAAGGGAAACCAACGGCTCGCTAGGTCAGTCGACCCAATCGCTTGTTTCCGCGGCTTGTGGGAAGCGTAGAGTTAGTAGGCTTGTCCGTCCCAGCTCTTAGTCCCACTTCAATCCTTTCACTCGCTCCCGCGATCCCGTAAGGATGGTCACGTCATGCGTCCTCTTGCCTTGCTGATCTCGCGGTCTGTGATAGTGCTTGCATCTAATGAGACCCTTGGTTGGCACGACCCGGATCGGGAAGATGCCAACGAACTGCACCATCAGCAATCAGATGAAAATAGAGTCGCCTTGCTCAGCGGATTCGCGAGCGGGCCGCAATGTAAAGTCATTGCGCGGCCTGGGCCCCCCCTCTTGGAGACGGAATTGAGTGCTGAGCACGCAAGCGCGAATCTGGCCCGGTAAGACTGCCCGTCATGAACCCACTTCTTACCCTTCCCATGCCTCCGTAGCTTAACCAAACTGGCGGGCCAGCGGGCTCGTGAGCGACAAGAGGTCGATGGCCTGCTGGCCGCGTTCTTGTCGAGGGCCCCCCTGCAAGGCTGGAACTAGCAGCTTGAAGGCAGTATATTACGCCTTGATATAGGGACTAGGCAGCGAGCTGTACACCGCAAATTCCAGCCCATGAGAGACCAAAACCCAGCACTTTGGGTCCCGAGTCGTCGAGTCAGCAGCCACCCGAGGATGATCAGCAAAGCCGGTTCGCTAAGTAATCCCTGTACGGAGTACCTGCCGATTGATCAGACCTCCGCACACGCTCTGGGAGGTGTGACATTTCGTGCCAACACCACAGGCACAAGCCCAGAGGCTGATGAGAGGGTGCGTGGCTGTAGTGCCATACCGTTGTGGTCCGGCACCGCTGCAAGACATTCAACCCCCCACAGACGTCTCCACGCTCGATTCTGTGGCTGTTCACTCATCTACGCGACCAGCCAATTGCCTTGCTGGACCGTGGGTAAGGCTTCCCTGGGGCTGGCACTAAGGGGGAAAAGCAAAGGCTGTGATATGATGCAGCGAGCAGATGGGACAGGACGGTGATTAATGGGGCATACGAGGAGTCTGTCCCCCACCTTGCTGCAGGGAAGTGTGAAGCCCGATCGAGAAAAGCAGCGGTGCAGGAGAAAGTAAATGACGGAACACAAGGCGTCAGATATCGCATCTCAACGGGAGATGCCAAAAACACATGGACGCGGCGTGACCCGTTCAGATCGCCGAGCTCTTGTACCCGCTTCCTGAGCCCTTGCCGGCTCCCACCTGGTGTTAAATTCCGTGCTCTGTGAGAAGAAGCAAAAAGCAGACGCTGAGCTTTGTCTTGAAGTGATCTCCTGGAGAGCGTTTCAAGATTGCAGAAAAAGCGATGTGCCCTCTCGCTGATGCCGAAGCCCAGCTGTCACTGCGCCCCGGGAAGGGGGTCTTGCTGCATGCGCTGAATTCCCACGGGGTCACGAGGAGGACATGGGAGGCGAGGTAGCAGGCGAGCTAGGATCGACGAACCCCAGGCCTCCGAGATGGCCAAGATAGATGCGCGATGAAGAGCTGAAAAGAAAGAAAAACAACGCTGAGGTCGATGCGGCAAAGCCATCATCGAGAAATACGATCTGGCGTCAAGGGCCCCGCCGTCGGTAAGTAGAACAGGCAAGTAGAACAGGAAGGGCCAGGGGTCACAAGCAGTGGGCCCTTGGGACAAGATGCGCCCGTGTTCTGTCGGCCAAGATTGAGTGCTGGGTCAGGGTCACCATGTCTCGGATGGGCATATCATAGTGTGTACCGTCTGGTCGGATCCCCTGGCATGGTTGTCCAAGGCTGATAATGTCGATGGGAGGTGATGAAATAGATTGCCTAATGGCCAGGGGCGCCTCAGCCGTACGGTACTATGTAGTATCGTGATCCTCTGCAACATTGAGGGGCAGCTAGCGCTCCGTACAATGGGGAACGCGACGGGGACAAGCAGGCGGGAGGGGGGGGCGCGGCAGGTCCGTGGCGCGAGCGACCGTTGCGGTGCCCAACCTGTCGGGTTTTGCGAGATCTGAATCTCAGCAGAGTGGGGACGGGGCTTGTCATGATCAGGGCGACGTGTGCCTGGTCTGGGCTGGGCTGGCTGGGCACTGGGAGTGTGAGTGGGCAGCTGGTGCGGGTGCGAGTGCGGTCAAGAGGTCGTTGGAGGAGGGAGGACTCGCAGACTCGCAGGCCCGCAGACTCGTAGACTCGTAGACCCGCCGCAGCCACACCGGAGGCGCCCAGGTGAGGGCGTCGACGCCTCATTTGATGTGCTTCGACAATGGCGACCGTATGCGGAAAGGCTGGGCGGCGGCGGGGAGGTAGCGAGGTGACACAAGTCGTCGGTGGCCCCCCCTTCTGATGGGGGACTGCCACAGCGGAGAGGAGGGGACAGAGAGGCCAGCTGAGGCTGTGGGTGGACTGGTGGACTGGTGGACTGGTGGACTGGGAGTGGCCAGGCAGGCGGTCGGGAGCAAGGGCATCCGAGATTTCGCACCTCCACTGCGCTGGGATCATGACGATGTCGTCCCTGCCGCCCTCCCAGTTGGCAGCGAGAGGGCGGGAGAGGGAGAGGGAGAGGTAGCCACGAGGGCATGGGTCCTCCTGGGTCGTGGGTCCTGGGGCTTGCGTCCTGGGGCTTGGGGCTTGGGCCATGGGCATCTGAAGCAAAGTGCACAAGATTTGGAAGGCAAGGTTGGACGGGGTGGACTGGACGGGGTGGACGGGGTGGACGGGGCGCAAAAGGTTGCTGGGCCTGCCCAATGGCAGCAACAAAGGCCTCTCATTGGCAACTGGTCGCATAATTGGGAGTGCCTTCAGCTGGAGCCTCGGGCCTGGGCCTTCCCGTTTTGAGCGACAGATGCACCGTTATCCACAACGCTGCCGTTCGCAAGCTGTGTTCGGGGACGGAAGGTGGGTGGGTCCTGGACGGCTGCTGGGCCCACACTGACAGCATCCATCTCTTTTCTCTTGAGTGCTGCACATGATAGATATTATTCCACGGCTCTCACCGACGTGACATTCCCCTGCCCAGGTCAGGCCGAATGAGGCTCGAATAACGAGCCAGTTCGGAGTTCTTGGCTGCATACATTCTGTAATGACGGTTATAGTGGGGAGGGGAGAGGAGGGAGCAGAAGAGTGTGAGTGAGTGAGTGTTGCGCTGCGGGTGTGAGAGCCGTAACGGCAAGATAGAGAAGGACTCGCTGCTCTGATCTGGGGAGACCCGCTAGCCTGTTGCGGCAGTATGCCATCCAGACCCTCCCTTCTAACTTCTAAGTTCTGAGCTCGAGTGCTGTCGGCTCCAGGCGGGCGACGTGACAGGCCTGGCTGGCAGGGCCCGCTGGGGTAGTCCCTGCTGGCCTGCCGCGACTCCGTCTCTTGAGTGTGCAAGACAAGAGTTGCGGAGGTACGTAGGTACGTACCCTGTAGATCCCTGACCCCTGACCCCTGCTCCTTGAACTCACCCATGTTCCGCCGTCTGCAGGAGATCTTCCTTGCCGAGAAGAGCTCCTGGCCTCCTCGCCCTCGTGGGTACCTTGTCCCCACGGCGCGACTAGGCCTGTCCACCAAGTACCCCGAGGTCTGATCTGGGGTGATGCTCTCTCGCGCTGGTGCTGGTGGTGGTGGTGGGCCCGCCCTCCCGGCTAGCACGACCTGGGCAGAGAGACTTGTCCAGAGTCTCTGTCCCTAGCGTTGACGCCGCCCCCGTCCGAGAGCCCATGTACTCGCTGGCAGCGACACAGGCTGCGAGCTACATCTGCGTGGGTACACAGCTTCGTTGTAGCAGAAGCTGGGCAAGTACCCCGTACTGACGCCGCCGCGGAGGGTACGTAGCTACCTGGCTACTTTGGCTCGGATGACCAAAAGCGTCCCCTGCTAGCCCACAACTGCCCTCCCCATATAATCCTCACAAGTCGGCACACTTTCGACTTTGAAACATCCAACACTCTCCACGATACAACCAACTTCTCTTCCATCGTTGGAACCTGTTGTTCACAGCCAACAGTCTTCTGGCCTTGCTTGTGGAATCCAACGCAGACAACGCTCCAACGACAAACATTACTACTTCTAGCACAACGCCTGCCTCTCATATAGCAGTAGCTGGCGTGGCCCAGTCTCATTGTCACTCACCTCCATCGTCACCACAACCGCCCATCACTATATCACCCTCGCCATGACACAATATCCCATCGCAAATCCGGGCCCCGGCCGCCCACGCAAAGCAGGAGGGTCGTGGACCGCACAAGAGAACTCGAGACTCGTCTGGCTCATCAAGCGGTATCCCAACCAGAGCCAGCTCCACTGGGTCGAGATCGCCCGCGAACACGGCACCCGAGATGCAAAGCAGTGCCGCGAGCGGTGGGACAACCACCTCAAGCCCGGCCTGAACAGGGACAAGATCACCCCCGAGGAAGGTGAAGAGATCATGCGGTGGGTTGCCCTGAATGGCAACAAATGGGCCCCTCTGGGCCGCCACTTGGGCCGCCCCGAGAACATGGTCAAGAACTACTATTACCAGGAGAGCAAGAAGTCCGAGCGCGAGCGCCTCAAGAAGGAGCGTCAAGAGGACCGCCGCCGCGACTCCCACTCCAGCGCCCTTCCGGCGTCGGTCCCCATGTCGCGGGATAACTCAGGCAACGCCGCATACCCGTACGGACGACGCCCGCAGTCCCTGTCGCCAGTGTACACACCAGCCAACTACAACAGCTACCGGACCGCAACAGCCCCGGCGTACCAGCTAGACCAGCAGATGTACCTGCTGTCAAACCAGACTCACTATCACCACTACCAATCGCGACGCACCAGTGTGGCGTCCAACGCAACCAACCCTCCCTCTCTGGCCTCAGACCACGGCTCTCCCGCAGAGTCACCCCGTGCCGGGGCAGAGCTGCCATACCCCCCGGGACAGTTCTCGCTCCCGTCAGCGTCAGCCTTCCCACCACAGCCCGTGGAGACGGCACTGCCCTCCCCCCACGAGCTCGTCGAGGGCGCGCCCGCACACAAGCGGTCGGAATCCTGGGGCTCAACATACTCTGCTCATCACAGCCCCAACGTCCTGCCAATCCCCACCGGGTTCACGGACGCCCAGAGGCTGCACTCCATGCAATCGGCCCAGGACGCCAGGCCTTTTCCCGTCGACAACATGCGGTTAGCCCGGCCTTCTTGCGACCACAGATGGTCAGCACCCCGGCCGTCGGCCCCAGAGAGGCCCCAGCAAGCGCTCTCAATCCCATACAGGCCCCAGCAAGCGCCCTCAACCCCCAAGAAGTCCTCGGATCCCCGCCTGTCTATCTCGAATCTGCTCTCTTGAAGAAGAATCACAAGGGAGACTCAGGCTCACACAATCTCCTATTCTACCCCACCGCTCAACTAGTCGGTTTTCTCTGAGAGACCTGAGATCTTTTTGCTATTATTGTGTGTCTGGTCAAGATTGTGGACCAGTGATGAGTACGATTAGTCTTTTGGGTATTGATATTACTGTTGTTTGGCGTTACTAAAGACGGGGCCCCTTCCAGGGGCTGTCAGCGGCGTACCGGTCTACCTGCAGGAGAATCAAATTTTGGGATGGTTATTACTGCATAGCGTGGGAGTTCACGGTCTGGTGGGGAAAAAAAAAGGAAATTCCAGGTCGGCGGCGACTTGAGGAGAGGGAATTGGACCACCCTGTTATTTTTTCCTTCCCGCTGTACACTCATTACAGTGGGTTCACTCAACTTTGGGGGGAGAGAAAGAAGGATAGGGGTCGGGTCAGGCCCCTTCATGATACCCGCCTGCCCTGAATGATGCCACTTTTGGAACGCCCCTGAGCGTGTGCCTCTTTTTTTGCGAGACAGGAAAAAAAAAGTCCAGCGCAACGGCCTTCACGGCTTCTTGCTACAGACTCTTAGCTCTAGCGGAACCTACCTAGTATCTTGTTTAATTCGTGAATAATACAACATTCTAATAGTCAAACACCGTGGCGCACGAGAGAAATTCCTCATCTAATCTAACCACAATGTCAACGTGAACCGTTTTCCCCGCGTGCCTGTCTGATTATCTGTCTCGAGGTTTGCCCACACACACACACACACAAGAGAGGTACGAAGGGAGAGCAGCAAGGCAGGCAAGCAATGAAGGCAGGAAGTGGCCAGCCTGGGGAGGAGGGCCCAGAACCCAAGCGTGGAATGATCTGGGGCCCCTGGGCACCCTGGGGTTCCTCCAGATTCCGCGGTCGAGAATGAACAGGACTCAGCGCCACAGCCGTGCTGGCAGGGCGGTAGAATCACCCCGGCGGTTGATCGCTCGCCGGGGCGGCGGGCGCCCAGGGGGGGCAGGCAGGGGCGGCCTGCTGTGGAAAAAAAGCTCGGATGACTACGAGGCAAGCGAGGCTAGTGGGTGGAGGTGGGTTGTGTGTGTGGGGGGGGGTTGCTCCCTGTTCTGGTTTTGGTGATCGGGAATAGACAGATAGACAGCACAGCATAGCACAGCACAGCACAGGTGGGGACGAGAACAAGAGTGGTAGGAGGGCGCGAGAAACGCACGCGGTACACACCACACCCATGCCATGCCTTGGCTGCCCTCGTTGCCCGCTGCGATCCTCTTTATTTTTTTTGTTTTCATGTCCTCCTCCCTCACTCGCCTGATCCAGCGAGCTAGCGAGCTGGTTTATGTGGAGGGTGCGTCCCAAGTGAGCTCGCTCCGGGGGGGGGGGACGGTCAAGGGCCAGGGCGGAGGGGAGGGGGGTAGGGGATCAGTCACATCATACAGTACTCGCCATCCGCGGTACGATCACTGGTTCCTCCCATACATCCATACCTGATCTGCTCTCCGCCCCCCTGCCCGGTCCCATGTCCCTTCCCCGGTCCCACATCCCAATCCACCGGGTTATATTCTAGCTGGGGTGAAACACGGATAGGCAACCTTGGAATATAGTTCGCAGTAAGTAACGCCCTTTCAGACGCTCGCGCTCGCATGGGAACATGTGTATACGGGGCAAGGCATGGAACTTCTTCGGGGATGGGTTGATTGATACGAACGGAAGCAGGGAAATGCAAGGCGCAGCAGCACATTGTTTCTCGTGTAACCCCATATCACGATATAGCTATATTAAAAGCTGTCCATGAACAGTAATGCTTGAGAACAAGTACGGACAGAGAGCGTGAAAAGAAAAGCTTCGAATCTGGGGCTGTGTAACGCGAGATCTTTCCATGCAGTTCCTTTTTTTTCTTGCTCTCCCCTTTACCCTCTTCTGTTGCGACCCCCTGGCCCGTACACACAGAATTCACGGGCCAGCGAGAGTTCGCAGTGTATGTGTTATGGTGCCTGCATGTCTCGGTGATCCTGTCTCAGATTCACGGTTGCACAACGGCTGGGGCGGTATTCTCTTTCCGGTGAAAGGGGCGGGGGAAGAGGGAAAGGGGAGACAGACACACACACACACAGACAGATATTGGAATTCTGCGGACTGACTCTCTTTGTGTGCGGAATACACGCCGTTTTTTTGGCACTCGTTTTTTTTCTTGAAGATGATCAGGCACTGATTCAGACGGTTTCTCTTTCTTCATGCCTCCCCCGCCCTTTGGACCGGCGCCATGACATACCTACACAGTTTGGCGGGGAGGGGAGAGGGGGGCTAGGCTACGTGGGGTGTGTGCAAAGTCGTTTTTTTCGAGACCATCGTCGGGCCGTCCCCATTGTCCTCAGCGAGGGCACGCTCAACGCCATCTGCATTGCATCATGGTCGCACGGCGGGCCCTTTCATGCACAGCGGGCATCGAGAAAACGGTCTTTGCGTTTTCCCCCCGAGCAGACAGGCCGCACTCGGACAAGTCGTTAGTTACCTAGGGGTTTTGGGTCTCTTGCTCACCACACACCCACCCTCTCCGTCTTTTTGCCCTCGTCGACTGACTGGCAAAAGTTTCATACCACGACTCATGAGGTGAAGACGCCAGGTGTTTCGAAGAGCTGAGGAATCCCAAGCCCCGGGCGTGCCCATTGGCACGGCTGGCTAAGGGAGAGGCGCGCCGTGGCGCCCCTCTAGTGAAAACCTGCCCTCCTGTTTGTTTTGTCCCCATCAGGATCAACTCATCGGTTTCCTCGTTGGGACCGAACCACCACCAAGCCCCCCAAGCGCGCCGCCCCTCTTGCGGGAGAGATAGGGCCCAGCCAGCCTAGCTCCTTCCGAACGGGCACGAGAGAGAGATGACAAAAAGAAAAAGGCGTTGAAGGGTGGAGCTAGCCAAGGTTGAAGACAAGTCCCAGAGCCAGAGCCAGGCCCGCACCCGGGAGCCCGAGGGGCTGGCTGGGCTGGACTGGCTTCAGGACACGAACGGCTGCCACAGACATCAGTGCGGTTGCATGACGTGAGACAGACGCTGTCACTATTCCTGCTGGCGCCTTCCGGCCTCGGCCTAGGATGGTTTCCTCGCGCTGCAGCTTGTCTGTCTGTCGTCCGGACAGACAAAGGGGGCCTCGGCTTGAGGGGCGGACGGCACGCATGCGTGCAGCAGCAGCAATCAAGTCTGTCCGCCCATCCTCCCATTGATCGTGAGGCGGCAGGGCAAGAGGGAGAAGAAGAAGCACTCGCCAGCGCAGCGGAGGGGGCGGGCGGCCGGGCCCAGCCACTCCCGCCCGCGAAGCCGTTGCTCCTTTGTCTGTCTGTCGGGGGCTTGCTTGGGGTGTTGGGTCTGCCGCCATGGCCGTTGCGACGGTTGAGAAAGCAGCAGCCGAGGTGTATCTAGTTCCCTGCAGGGCGCCTGCGGGCGTAGCTCTCTTGCCGTGCCACTCCGTCTGTTTTCGGGCGAGCCACTCGGGGGTCCATCAACCGCCCCAAGTTTTCGTTGCGTGGGCGCCCACGGATTCCGTCACCACCACGAGGAAGTTTTGGGCCCAGGTGAGGAGGCGCCGATCCCGAAGCGAGGGGAAAAGCAACAAACAGGGAAAAAGAAGAAAAGGCCACGCATTAGGGGCGCCCGTCACCTGAGGCGGGCGGGTCGTCGTCGTCAACGATATTTATCGCATGCGCATATCAGCCAGAGAGTGCATGTCGTTGTCGTCGTCGTCGTCCTGTGTTGTATGTGTGCCCCATGCCCTGTGGCGTTGGCGCCGATCCGGCATCCTTGAACGTCAAACGCAAGAGCTGAGGGTGAGCCGGACAGTTGGGATGGACGTCGTCGCTATGATCGCCGCTACCCACAGCGATGTAACCCTCGGGTAGGGTATTTGAGAATCTGGCATCGGGCCTGGCGACAAGGGTGGTGTGTGGGCGGCCCTGGGTAGGACCTTGGAAGGCCAAGAGGCAGGCAGGGTGCCGACGTTCCGGCCTCGGTAATAATAAATGTGACGGTGGGTGCTGGGCAGCCAGCCTTGAATAGTGTAGAGCAGACCCCTGCCCTTTTCCACCTGGACCAGCTCTCTTTCAGCGTGGCATTCGGTCGTCGCTGGCTGTTGGTGCGTTGGTTGGATGGATGCAGTCGTGACCAAGGACATATGCACCCTGCTGCTGGGCGTGTCCGGCACCTTGGACCGTATGTGCTGTAGTAGTAGAATAGATAGGTATACCCGATGATCACACGCCAGCTGCAGGGCTTGTGCACGAAATTCGGCAGCCTGGCACCAACACACCATCACAAAACCTCGCCAATCTCGCAACCGCCCGATCGCCGTTGACAAAGGCCCCGGGACAGCACACCCACACCCACACCCACCCCTCGACTCCTCGACCCCTCCCATCACCTTTCCCACCACCCAATCAACCAACTAACCAGCCAACTAACCAGCCAACCAACCAACCACATTCCGCCCAAAAGCATATAGCAGAGGGATGCTAAGACCGTAGCCAGAGCCATAGCAGAGAGCTTATAACCAGCAGGGCCCAGCTGCTGCTGCAGGGACGGAGCTACGCAGTATGTAGTGACCTGTATGTATGTACGGGTCTGAATCACTGGTGGCCCGGATCGGGGCTGGAGATTGGCAACGCCGCGATGTCACGCTGGGGCTGGAACCATGGCCCATGGGCGGGCGGCAACTGATGTCTCCGGGCGATCAGCGGATACTTGAGTTGACGCTGGCTCGTCGCTTGCGGCCTGCCAGAGTGGGATCGCCCCGGCGCCTGGGCTGAAGTTGGAGCCAAAATTGGAGGACAAGGTCGTCCCATCCCGGACTTAAGACTGGGAGAATCTCGGCTGATGTGGAGTCCTCACCCCCCAGCCGTACCAGCAACGCCCTGTTGTTGCATTATTCGGGGCTGCGTCGCGAGAACCCCAACATTTTCGAACCACACCTCATCAGCACCTTCAGATGGTTTTCTAGACCTTTTTTCATCATCATCATCTATGCAGCGGCCAGACTATTCCATACTCCGACCCGATAGCGAGCACTGTTCGGGTGGTGTGGCTGATGATACCACCGCACAGGCAGGTGTTTTGGGCGCAGTGGACGCTGGCTCGTGCGGCAGGCAGACTGGCAGACTGGCAGACGGGAAGACAGAAGACAATCAATCAATCTGCCTGGGCTGCTGCTGTTCGCTCCACGACAACAATCAATCCCAAGCAAGAATGCCCGGCCGCGTTGTCCCCCGTCGCCCGGTAGATGAGATGACCCCCACCGAGACAGACCGCCACGTCTCGAGTCTATAGCAGGTATTTGCGTATTGTGTTCGTGTCATACATGCCACCAGGAAGGAACTAGTCAGATGCCCATCCGGTGGTGCGAGATGGGCAGTCTCTGGCTCTCCCCATCCCAGGGCGAAAAGAAAGCTTTCCAAGGGCCAACCCAACCCAACCCAACCAAGCCCAGCCCAGCCCAGCCCAGCCCAAAGGAGAGTCAACAAGCTCGAGTGCCGGACGGGGGGGCGTCGGCCATGGCTGGGCCCCCCAAAAACCCTCGTCTGCATGACATCGAAGGGGGGGGGGGAGCGAGCGACCTGACCTGCCGTAGCCCCAAAGCCTGAGCCGCATAGCTGGGAACAG